AGTTCTTTACGTGAATGTTCCAAGTTTCCGGGACTTTGGAGAACATTGTACACCTATTGCTTACTTGTAGTTAAGTGATTAGTTAAGTTACCTCCGTGCCCCTAAATAGTGTAAAGGCGACTAATGAGGTGGTTCTCGCATACCTAAGTAGTAACTGCTAATATTTATTTCAGTTTTGTTTGTGGATTTACAGAACATAGAGGCTTAGTTCAGAAGGGGGTGGAAATCTGTGGCAATTATGATGACTGAAAACACAGCCTGTGTTACTGTGATGAATTAATGTGGTCTGTGCTGACAACGCTCCATATTTGATGTGTATGGAGACCCAGTTCTAGATGAGAAATCAAACAGTCTAAGAACAATGCTTTTAATGTTGTTTGCGAGAACTGGAAAAAGGAGATCTGAAGAAGGTTAGAATTAAATACTTTAAAAGAAGGAATGTAAATTTCTCACCAAACTCAGTATTGTGCTTGTAGCAGCTGCCAGAACGTGTCCTCTACTCACCTGTTCTGGTCCTAAAGTCAGCCAGAATATGTATGTGTAAAGCAGAGGAGTGAGGGTGGGGTGGAAGATGCTGGCTTGTACAGTGCAGTGTTTCCCAAGCTGAAAGCATAGGACACTGCTATGATGGCAGGGCCTTTTCTCTTTTAAAAAGGCCATTAATTCTTTAGAGACAGAAGTGGAAGGGAAATTCACAACCATATTGCTCCAGCTGTGGAAACAGCTGGGGGTTTGCTTTCTCTTTCGGCAGTGGTAACTGCAGACCCACTCCCTGACTGACCTAAAGAATAAAAAGAATGCACCACTCCTTCTAATGGTAATGACTTGTTCTGTTGAGGTCATGGGAGCAGTCAAACAAAACATCCCACAGACATGGTTTGGTCTCTACATACTTGCAGGACTCTATAGAAATGCAGGGAAATATGACTTTGTAAATGCACACACACACACACCCCAAATCTCCCAGGCAACCAGCCTGGTTAGGACTGAATATGTCTCAAGAGGTATGGAATGCGGAAATCTTTTGAGATGTTAAAAAAGCCCGCTGAAGTCTGAGAGTTTATATAATCCTAGAGGGGGGATATTTGTGAGAATTTCCAAATCTTTCCACAATTTCTTGTATGTACTTCTGTATTTTCCAAGTTAAAGAAGTGCAGTGCTGTTTTATGAACGAGGAACAGGGTGAGGGTGAGAGGAGCCTTTTTTGCGTAGCTATGCAGTAACCTAGCATGAGTGAATAAAACTATCATGATGGCAATGGAAAATACTTTCAGAATCAGGGTGCAAAAGTGCTGAACTCTTGGAGAAGAAACATTTAGAATGATGTTCAGTATCCTTGCATCTCTTGGCAACTTCTTTAAGCTCTTTGTTTATGTCCCCCTGGTCTGTTATTTCTGTTTGTTGCTCGGGTTCTGTCTTGGCAGCGGTCAGGTGGCAAACACTCAACAACCCCGGCAGACAATTATTATCTGGCTAGAAGAAGGACCCTCCAGGTGGTGGTCAGTTCACTGCTGACAGAGGCTGGGTTTGAGAGTGCTGAGAAGGCTGCTGTAGAAACCATGACAGAGATGATCCAGAGTTGTGAGTATTGCCAAATGTGTGTTCCTGGGTTAAAATAATTAAAAAGCTGTGCATTTCCAGTGTCAAACACATTCTCCTTAAAATGAAGACGATATGAAACACAGACAGTTCTACTTTTTTTTACTCAGAATTGACCACAAAGAGACTCCTATTACTTTAACACCTCATCGAAAGGAAGCATTTTGGCAGGAGTAACTTCTTCTGCTGTGACACTGCAGCAGTCTGGAAGCCTGCCCTTCTGTACTGCCGCCTGTACACAGAGCCCTGTGTACAGTCACTGACAAAGGTTGGCAGCTGGGTACTGCCACTGCATCATGTAATGGGAAACCTGGACCACTCATTTTCTCTGCCAGTAACCTTGTTTGTACACTGAAAGTGTTTATAAACCTGCCTTTCTCTCAGCAGAGCTGGATCCAAAGTTGGCTATCAGTATAATAATCAAAATTAAAACAATTCTAAAAGCATCCAAGAAACAATAAAACTGTCAACAGGATCATGGTAATCATAAATTTGCACCCAAAGAGCTGCTCAGGCCTTGCCAAATGCTTTCCCGAATAATGCGGCCTCTCATAAGAAGTACTTCCTTTTATCCATTCTAACCCTAAAGGCAAACAAGGCCTCACCTCCTCTGGTAGATCGTTCTAAAGCAGAGGGGTGGCAACTGGAAAAGCCTGGATCCAGGCAGCAGCAGAACACCTCCTGGCTAGAGAAGGGACAACCAAAGGCCTTGCAGGGAAGAGGAAGGTTGCAAAATAAGTATATGGCTGGGGACAGCACACTTCTGTTCACATTCCTGCATGTTTAATGGTGTCAAGTAGTAAAGGGGGCATCAAATATCTTGATTTTTCTCACAGGAGTGGGATTTGTAATAGCATTATAATGACTGTAGATTTCAGATCTCAACGCTTTTCTTTCCCAGATATTTCAGAGATAGGGAGGAGTGCAAAATCTTTCTGTGAACATACTGCAAGGACTCAACCAACCCTTTCCGATATTGTTGTGACCTTAGTAGAAATGGGTGAGTCCCTGAATAGTTGCTTTACACTTATGGGGCTCTGTTGTATTTGATTGGTCTTGTAGGTGTGCAGAGATGGAAAGTGATTTTGTATGTGTGATCATTTAATGGATGTACTACTAAGGATGTACAGTCGATTCCCATTTATTTTCATATCTCTTCAGCCTCACATTCAAATGGTTCTTGATCTACTGGATTGGAGCAAGTGATTTGCTCACAGAAGGATTGTGGCAGTTCCCTACTTTCCCCTCTTCCAGAAACTATTTCTGACCCAAAAATTGGTGGTCATGGGACCTGTGTGGTATAAGAACCATGCAGGTGAGTGGACTGCGGTGATGAGGGAGAAGGGTAGGAAGTCACTCCTTCTTTTCTCCCTCATCATCAGAAGCAAGAAGGATGATATAGTCCCCTTCCCTTTCCCCACTGCAGCCTCCCAACCTGTGTGGCTGTTAGTTCATGTGGGCGTGGGACCCCAGGAATAAGCTTTCCCTGCTTCGGCGGGGAGGGTGGAGTATAAATTGAATGAATAAATAATAAAAAAAGGAAGGGAGGAAGAAATAGTTGCTGGGGGAGCAGAAAGGAGGGAATAGGGATGGGCACAAACAGCAAAAATGCAGTGTCATTCGTGGCCAAATCATGAACCAAACTGGTTTACTCTCTGACGAACCGATTCAGTTTGTAGTTTGTGGGCCTAGCAAACCTCATTTAAAGGTCCCTTTAAACGGGTTTTTCAGAAAGCAGCAAAAACAGCTGAGCAGTAGGAGCGCTCCCAGCCGCTCAGCTATTTTGGGCTTTCTTGTGCAAAGTTTAAAGGGACTGTACAAGAAAGCCAGGAAACAGGGAGCAGCCTGTCTGTCTAGGGTTGGGTGCTGCTTCAACAGGGGAAGCCCCAGTCCATCGCCTGGCCATTTGGGAGAGCCCGGGTGCTCACCCACCCTCCCCCCATCGCCTGAGAATGCCCCCCAGACCTTCTATCAGGAACTCATCCAGGAGGCCAGTGGAGGAGGAGGCCGGCAGTAGTGAAGGGGCAGCCAGTTGAGGCGGTCAGTGGAGGAGACAGCTGCTCTCTGGACAGGCTGCTCCCTGTTTCCTGGCTTTTTTGTGCAGTCCCTTTAAGCCCGAAACAGCTGAGCAGTGGGGAGCACTCCCAGCCATTCAGCTGTTTTTGCACCTTTCTGCTGGAGCCAGGAACCAGCATGAACCCCACGAACCCATCACAGATTTTGGTTCTCAAACCATTAATAGAGCAAAACTCGTTACAAATTTTTCTTCATGGTTTGGTTCGAGCCCATCTCTCACAGGGAATATCTACAACCATTAGCATCTTCCACAGACTGATTGTTGGATCCAACCCTTAGGTTGGTTGGAGCATGAGGATTGAGGTGGGTGGATACCATTGGAAGGTTAGAATGGTTTTGCTCTCCTTTGATTGCCTTTTTTTCAAGTGCCCCCTGCTGTCTTGTCCTCCAGAGGAAAGTTCGGCCTACTCGTTCCTGCTCATCTCTAGATATGGAGCAAAGATGAGCAGAAAAGGCTGAATTTTCCCTTGTAGTTCAATTCTGCCCAGTTGGGACTTTTTACTCAGTGAGCATAGGCATCTCTGCTGTTTTGTTTGAATCTCTTCCTGAATTCCTGTGGAGTCAAGGAGTGCAAAGATTGGTGAATTAGTCAGTTTTGTGGTGCAGCCAGTGATCCAGGGTTTCAGAGGTTGATGAATTACTATTGTGACTGCTGAAGCTCTCCTTTTCCCTTTGTTTCAGGATTTAATGTGGAAACCCTCCCTGCTTATGCCAAACGGTCCCAGCGGATGGTGATCACTGCACGTATGTGAGCTTTTGTGTAGTGTGTGGGAGGCTGCTGAATCTGAGACTGCAATTCTGGGCATGCTTATTTGTGAGAGTGTTGAAATCAGTGAGACTTAATTGCAAATAAATGTGTGGAGTAGTGGGATGTACCTGTTTAGGGATTTGGTGCCCAAGCATGGAATAATTTCTGCACATGCAGTAGAATGAAGTGGTAGAATACTGAGGAGGTAGAATGGGTTACACCACTGAAGACTACAGGTGGAAAATGGTGTTTTTGAATGTTCCTCTTTGTTAAGAACTCTCTGCAAATACAAAACAACTGGAACAAGCAAAGGAGTAGGTGATGTTTTTGAGAATGGAACTGTATGGTATCTTAGACACAGGACTGCACCAAAGAGGTATTTTCCCGTAATTTTCTCCCTCTTCCTTATAAAGAAATTTTTTATCACCCTGTGTTGCAGTTTTGCTTGATTTTGCATGTCCCTGTCTCTCCTCCCCATTATTTTTGCTGCTGGTGAGAAAAAGAAATGTACAACATGATGATGTCATGACTTAGATTTAGTGATCGTAGGCACTCTGGGGCAGAGAGAGAAAACATGGGATGTTGTTTTGGTGACAGTCCATCTAATACGTGAAGTCACCTTGATGGTGCAAAATTTGTCACGTTAAATTCTTGCATAGCCTTTTTTGTACCATTCTGCCTGCAAGGGAGCTGTTTTTACTCTGTTGTTGCCTAAACAGGTCCATCACTTCAATTGTATTAAGCACACCGGTGCCATTGGTGTGTCCTAGTAGATTGCCTCAATGTTATGCTGGCTTGATAGCAGTGTGGCAAGGGCTGCCATGACTGAATTTCTGTTTCCAATTGTAGCACCTGTAACTAATCAGCCTGTGGCCCCAAAAGCCCTGACAGCTGGACAAAACAAGCCTCACCCATCCCACATCCCAAGTCATTTCCCAGAATTCCCAGATCCTCACACTTACATCAAGACACCGGTAAGTTGGCCTGCCATCAAAAAAGTGATCACATGTTCTCAACTTCAGTATTAATTGTAGCAGAAATTGGCTCCCTAATAGACCTTTTAATACAAGGTTATATAATGAGTTGTTTAAGGTACAGACAGCCTTTTGCAGTCCACATTGTACTAGCAGCTTACTGAGATGCTTCTTGACTTTTCATCTCTGGCTTGCAAGAGAGGTTTTGGCTGCCTGTCCAGTGGATGGGAATCGTCCAGATCGGGGTGGATGGCCCCTAGTAAGCCTGCTCATTACAAATCCAAGCTTGCATATAGTCCTCATTGCCCCTCTCTCTCTTCTGCCTTTCAGACTTACCGGGAGCCTGTCCTGGATTACCAGATCCTACGAGAAAAGGCTGCCTCCCAGAGACGAGATGTTGAAAGAGCTTTGACCCGCTTCATGGCAAAAACAGGCGAGACACAGAGTCTTTTCAAGGATGATGTCAGCACTTTCCCGTGTAAGAGATTCTAAATGGCAGTCAAATAGGTGGCAGAGCATATTGTGATTCTAAGTAGGATGCTGTGTGGTTAAATCTGGCATTGACTTGCTATTTGGAAAAATCACCTAAACAGCCTTATGATGTGCCCCAGTGGTCCATCAAACTGGTATCCATCTGTTCCAATAACAAAATCAGTGAAAGTTGTTGAAAAAACACTGACCATTAGTGAATTACTCATGTCTTTTTACTTCCAGATTCAATAACATTTGGGGACAGGATAAGCTAGGAGATGTAATGGCCTGATTATTTTGATAAATCAAGTACATATAGAAGCATGGTAGCATGTAAAGGCTAAGATGCTCTGCAACAAGGCAGGAATTCTTTTCAGACTGTATCTAACAATATACCTTCTCCCTTCACTGTCTCCAGTGATAGCTGCCAGGCCTTTTGCAATACCCTACTTGACAGCTCTGCTTCCCTCCGAATTGGAAATGCAGCAGATGGAGGAGACAGATTCGTCCGAACAAGATGATCAAACAGACACAGAGAATCTCCCCATTCACGTGAGCACGGTAGAGCTTTAGAGACAAAGTTCAATTCAGTGGGCCATTATTTATTGATCCCTGTAAATCCCATATTAAATGGTCCCTTGAAGTTTAAAAATAGTTTCAGATGGAAGACGTTGGGCAAATAAATTTCATTTACACCATCTTCCAGAATAAGCCTGGAGACTGATGGTAGGCAGTGTGACTTCTCACCATAAGGGACAAAGTTCCAATGGAACGTAACCCCTCCTTTGGTGATTTTTTTTTCTTGCATCATTTTGCAAAAGGATGTAAAACTGTAGGGGGGGTAGGTGTTGAGGATGACGATGAAATATATCTCTGTTGATGAAAAAATTGAGCCAGTGCTCCCTCACTTTGTTTCAGTTGCCCATAGCTTCCACTTAGGGCAGCATGTAAATGGAGGCGTACATCCAAATATTGGTCCTCATCTGCATTCTGCCGTAACTAGACCTGTGTAACCATGGCAGGACTGGAGCAAACAAAGCACTGGCAGGCAATAAAACATGGACTATAAAAAGACAGGAAGTGTTTGCCTGTTTGCCTAGGTAATAGATCCATTTCCTCTTTCAGAGTGAAGGCAAAAGGGAGGATTTTGTTTTTTCCAGTAATATTGTCATATAGCCACCAATGACTGGTGATGTGCTATGATTTTATCACACTCACTATGGGATCTCTGATTTTCTGGGATCATAGTTTACCTTTAAAGTAAAAATTAAATTTGCACCAAAAAAACATTAACTCAAGTAAACAGTGGGTGTTAAACAGGCATTTGAAAAAAAAAGTGCATATCAGTGGCGGGTAGGCTTCCCCTCAGCAGATTCCCCCCCCCTCATTTGTTCTTTTGCTGATAATTTTTGCATCAAAAACTCAGTGTGGTGCTACTTTACTTTCAATGTTAGACTAGGAAGTATTTCCTGTTACCCAGCAGGGGGCACCCCAGTCCCTGAGATGCCCAAATGTTAATTATTGCCTTGTATGCCCAGAGCATCTTCCTTTTTATTTCTTGTGTACCGGCATTCTTCCGCTTTAAATTTTACATCGTTTGGATCTTATCTTACCAGGACGACTCAGGAGCTGAGAAGGAGAATGCGTCAGTACTACAGCACAACACATCCATGACAGGCAGCCGAAATGGAGAGGAGAACATGATAGACAATCCTTACCTCCGCCCAGTGAAGAAACCTAAGATCCGCAGGAAGAAGTGAACTGGGGCAACCTGACAGGATGAACTAAATTAGAGACAGCCATGGGCCTTTCAGTGGTCCCTGTGCTGATGTGGCACAGGAAAGGCAGAAATGGACTGCTGGTTGATGGACAGATGGCAAGGTGGTCTTTTCCTCCCTTAGTGGTTTGTTATAAATTAACTAAAACCCTGTCTCGAAAGAACTGAAGGCCATGTACACTGACATGTAGTCATGTAGTCAACATGCTGCAGCTTGTGGTAACTGCAGCATCTTTTCATTCTTCAGGTGAACATTTTTTTTTAGGGTTGTGGACAAAACTACAGATAATGCAGAATGCTTCCTTCCATTTCAGCAGGCATCAAGCAACCACAGGAGACTTGTCCCTTCTGTTCAAACTATCTTCTTTTTGTTTATGTTGCAGTCCCTGGGATTCAGGCTGTGCTAAATATGGTGGGTTTGGATGAGACCTGGTCTAGTAAGCTGGTTAGATACCAACAAATGTGCCTTAGCAAAATTGAGGCATAATTCTGAGCTTTCTGAAGGACTGCATACACTTGGAGCTGCAGCACTGGTTTGAGTTGCTAGGAAAGTTGCGAAAGGAAATACAGCAATAGTTTGATTAAAAGAAAAACTTTCCATCAGATCTGCCAGTGACCATGCTTGAAAGCAAATTCTAGAAGATGGCCATTTAAAATGCAGTTATATTTCAGTAGATTGGTTGTGGCTGTTCTGCCCTTGACTGGTTGAATATTCCTTGTGAGCTTTTGAATCTTGTGTCTGCACCTTATGACTCAGATTCTTAGGTTTCGACTCTCCTTAAGTCTACAGTGCTACCATTTTGCAGTATTTTCAGTTGCTTCTTGCAAAGGTTCTGTTCTTTATTAATATGAAGGCAGGGGGACCCTGACCAGGTGATTCTTCAAATATCTCTATATGGTATGTCATCTTTTAAAAAGAGTATAGCTTTTTCTTACTGGCAAAACATGTAGTGGCTTCAACAGTAGGCTGAAGCACAGATCTGCAGTGAGCACTTTCCTACACCTTCTAATGGCTGCAGCTGCATCTTAACTGGAAAGGTTTGTTTTAGGATTCTGTCACCCCAGCAGTCTGAAGATTAACCCTGCAACAGCAGCTGTTTCCTGATGTTATTGAATTCTGTAGTTTTGACTTCAACACAGCACGGAACCCTTAGATGAAAGCAAGTCATAGCTCAAAAGCTCATAGTAGATCTGTAAAAGATGGATGCGCAGTCCTTGTGCATTTGACCAATATTCACAGAATGTAGTGGGAAAAGACCTTGATTTCTAACATGACCTTGGAGTTTTCCTGTTAGAAATTGAGGCCCGTCTCTTCCACTTCTGCCTCCATGGCTTCTAAGCATAGGAATTTTGGGGCTGGGGTGACATACAGAATCACCTTGAACAAGCTTCTGTGTACTTATGGTAAAAACTGCTTTCCCAAAAACACGTTTTAACTGTAAAAAACTTGTCTGAAAATGTTCCAAAATTTGTGGAAAGTTAAGATTCTGGGCCAACAGACGCTTCTGGGCCCAACTTGCTCCTTAGAAAAGGCTTTTTTCCCCTCACTCAGAGAAATCTTTTGGTCTTAAGAATCATCACAATACTGTGTTTATGACCTGCAGTTTGCTATACCATCTGAAGTTGTTGAGGAAGAGGAGAGACAATATTTTGCATGTTTTCCCCTCCAAAGAAGGAAAGAACAATATTTTGCATTTTTTCTCTCCAAAGTTTTTGGTTCCCTTTCCAAACAAAACTGTAGTTCTAATGAAACTGGGGGAAATAAGAATGGAGAGGCTGCCTGAACAGAACATCCTGCTTCGTATATTGTTTTCTGATCCTCCAAGCCAAGTTTAGGGGCTTGAGAATAAGCTGTGGGGCTCACGCACTGTTTTCTCTCCAAGGAATATTTGAAACCATGGTTTAGAGGCAGTCCTGCTTTGGGGTAACCATCATTTAAAGTATTGTCTGAACCGAACCAATGTGATAAGGAAAAGCTGATCTGCTGTGAAACTGCTGTTATTATGGTGGGGTTCAGGTTTCTCTACTATGTGTTGCGAACCCTAACCTTTCCTTTCCCCATCTCCCTTTCCTGGACTACCTCTAGGAGTAACTGCAGTGCACTGTAGTTGAAAACAAGAGCCAAGTTAATCTGTGCGTAGTTTCCCCCCTCAGGGTTTACATTTTTACAAAATGCAGTCGTAAAGACTGCAGCCTAAAGCAGAAGAGCCGTGAAGTGGAGGGATGCTTCTTTAACCTTTCAGCTCAGTGGTTTTTCTGCTGAAAATCCTCCTTCTCTGGTACTAATTGCCATTTCCCTGGTAGAGGAGACGGAGAAGAGCAATTTGGGGCAGTTCTCAGGAGAAGAACTACTGGAGAAAAAAGTTAACCCCCCCCCTTTTTGCTTGATTTCAGCCTGCATACTTGGAACTTACAAAAAGCCCAAATACCTTTGAGGGGTGGACTTAACCGTTACACATAATGTGTAATTTGGGGAGGTGACTCTTATTCCTATGGCTTCTCCTACCTTTCATGTGTTTGTAAAATACAATCCTTATGTTTAGTCTACTGTTTGACCTAGCATCAAATTACAGTTAGAGTCCTTTGGCCCTTTGAGCTGACTGTGCATTGTTTCTTTCCCTGCTTGTGATCAGGCCTAGGCACAGCTGGAGCATTGCCAAGAAGCTGCTATACCAGAACACTCAAGTGGGTTTAAGTTGGTGGTTCCATTCTGTGGGAGAGATCCAAAGAGTATTTTGATCTTAGCAGGTGAGAGGGAGCTGTCATAATTTTCCTCTGGCCTTAGATCATAGGAATGGTCTGCATAGGGAGACTGCTTGAATATGCTGTTTGCTAAGTGTTAGTTCCTGTTCAGTATTAATCCAATTTAGCCACAGCAATACTAAGAGGAAGGGCTTAATCTTTGCAAGTATTAACTGCATGTAGAGCCATGAGAACAGAGTTGTCCTGTGGCTTTGGCAACTTTGCAGTGATCCATTCACCCACGTGTGCATACAAAGTCCTGTACTTTTTTTGTCCTATTGCAGTTTGGTTGTAGCACCCCCATAATACATGTGCTGACTGTTACAGATTCTCTGTATAGATGTACACCTAGCTCTCTCATTCACCGCCTATGAGAGAGATGACTCTGTAGCTGTGATAGTCTACCAGACTGTGCTTTCATTCTGTGGATTCCCCCAGTTCCCTCCTTTTCCAGTTTATCATCCTGCATCATGTGACATATTAGAGAATCTTGGATGTGCTCGGGATGAGGCTGTTCATTGGCTTTGCTTATATGCAATATCTCTTCTCAAGCCAGTTTTCATTTTCTTTTGCTATTTTATAATACTCTGTTGGTGGAAGAAGCAGCAAACCTACTTTTGATTTATTGACATTCATTACAGAAATCTCATGGCCAATGCTTTGATCCTAAGACCCAGAGAAAAACATGAAATGGCTGGACATCGCAAGCTTTTGTACATAAGTTGCTTCATGTACTGGTCAGGAACATGTGAAGGCACCATGACAGACTGAGGGTTATGTGTTTAATATGTTGTCGAAGGTTTTCATGGCCGGAGTTCATTAGCTGTTGTAGATTTTCCGGGTTGTATGGTTGTGGTCTTGGCATTGTAGGACCTGCCGTTTCGCCAGTAGCTGTGGATGGCATCCTTGGAATTTATACCTGTTATACCTCTGAGGATGCCAGTCACAGCTACTGGCGAAACGTCAGGTCCTACAATGCCAAGACCATGGCCATACAACCCGGAAAACCTCCAACAGTTAAAGGTTATGTGTTTGTCTACAAAACTATAGTCTTCTGCAGAGAAATAACCACAGTTGCTATGAGACAGTGCAAGAAATAGAGAGACAGCAATGTATAGTGGTCAGTGGGAAGTCTAAGTTCAAAATCCACAGTCTACAAAGTAGGAAGTGTGCTGGCTGGGTGAACTTGGTCTGGACACACTATCATCCTAACCTACCTCACTGGCTTGTTGTTATTTCTCATTAAATAGTTCATGTTGCTTTCCTAACTGAGAGCCTGGATTAGGAGGGCATGAATACAGTGAAAAGGGGGGAGGCAAACCCAGTTTTGCGCCCAGGAGAACCCTGGCATAACAAGCCCAACAAATCAATATCAATCCCCCCCCCCCTCTGGAAGCAAGGCAAAAAGCTCATACCTTGAATAAAACGTGGTTCGCCTTAAAGGTCTTTTGTATATCTCTGCTACAATTGAGGGGACTGGGCATCCTCCCTCTCCAGGGACAAGGAAAGCAAAAGAGGGTGAAGGAAGCAGATGACAGCCAGTTGCTCATGGGCTGCATACAAGCCCTGTGGGTGCCAGATCCGGGCGATATGTTTGACATCCGTGGGTTAGACTGAAATAGAATGATGAACCCAAGGTCACCCACTGAGCTTCCATGGCATAGTCGGGGTTTGCCTGAATTCTTTGTGAAGTACCCACTGTGAAGCATCACCCCATCTAACTTTTGGTCATGAAGAAAAAAACCTTGTTGGCCTGGTTTGAGCAGACAGGCAACATATAAATTTTGTAAGTAAATAAGGATTTTAGCCTTGGACCAATGTCGGTCCTTGAGTACAAATCTGTAATTGTAACTATGAAAAGCACTGAGCTTCTTTCTGTTAGGGGACAAGTTCATGGACATCAGGTTGGTTCTGATTCTAAACACATTACCTGAAAGCAAGTGCAAGTGACTTAAAGGTAATTTGTCTCTACCAAAATGTGCTCAGGATCAAGAGCTGGATTTGATAGATTGGAAGATTATTCTTAATAACATTTTTTAAAATCTATGCTTTCCTAAATCTTAGGCTAGATAAAGCTTAAAATGTAATGTCTTGCATTATAATTTAATGAAATGATAATTGAGGATCACTTTTGTTCCTAACAACAGAAGTGAATGGTATAGTTCCGTGAGGTCAGACCTGTGAATTGTAGAGCTTTTCCTGTAATTTTGCAGTTTTGGTATCTGGTCTCAGAGAAGGCATTCAGTTAATACACTGACATCTGTTTTTAGATCAAACTGTTTTTAGATGTGAAACTGATCCCAGAACTAGCACACAAAGCAGCCCCTCACTGTATACTATGGAATGTGAACTGCAGGATAAAGAAGTTTTAAGAAATGTAAGAGAAATTGGTCCAGGCGAAGAAAAGGTATTAGCAGAAACCATCCAAACACATAATACCTTAGAGCAGGGGTGTCAAACATGTGTCCCAGGGGCCAGAACAGGCCCCCAGAGGGCTTCTATCAGGCCCACAGTGGAACTGGCTGTCTCCTGCTTCTTTCAGTTCTGCTGCTGCTGCTGCATCATTGTAGC